CCCCCCCCCCCCCCCCCCCCCCCCTCCCGCAAAAAAAAAAAGAAACCTTAGCTTCGCCACTGGGTCGTGGGTTGCATTGATTGGAATTGGCACTCATGTCTGCAAGATGGAATCGCCGCGAGGAAGAAACGCGGAACCCTATCCTTCACGAAATCCCTTTTTTTTTTCTCTCAGAGTAAGGTTATTCGTATGAGATAACTGTTCTTGGAGTAATTGGCCTCTCTCATCACCATGCGCGATTTGCATAACCCGCGTCGATCGGAGAAAAGTAGCCAACTAGTTTCACGGAAGAAATTATATTTTATGTTTCTCGTTTTTCGAACCGAAACGTAACCGCTCCGATTTCAAGTCTGGATTCGAGCCGGATTAAGAGATTAACAGATCGCGATCGAATCCGTTCCAAACTCGCAGGACTTTCCTTGGGATTTTTCGTTTCCAATCTATCCGAATTCGAGACGCATCGCAGATACGAGGCAAAAAAAAAAAAAAAAAAAAAAAGTACGTTGATTTATGATGATGGCTTCTGTTGCAACGCGAGTCTCCAGATTTGAATAAAATGTGCGATACAAATGGACAACCGACCTTTGGTGCCAAGGACTTTCGGGACCCAACACGGCAGCGACGAAGGAATGAGGAAACTCGGCTTACCTAATTCCTTTTCCTTACTTCTGTGTCATGCGAAGTCAATATGCACAATATGCGAAGTCAATATGCAAGTTCACCTGCATCGAAATGAGCGAGCAATATGTTATGGGGAAAAATACATATTTATGAAAACGGTACCCTCGGGTCCCATAATAATGAGTTAATGAGTAAGTTGGAGTTTATCCCCTCTCCCTGGGGTTCCCCCTTCCTCTGACCCCCATCCATCCGCCATCCATCCGGCACCCATCCACCATCCATCCGGCACCCATCCACCATCCATCCGGCACCCATCCGCCAGAAAAGGTCGTGAAAAATGTCTCCGCTCGTTTCTCGGACGATTGCAACACGCGAAAGAAACCGACGGTATCGTACGATACTTGCCGCGTCGCAACCCGACTCGGACAAAAAAAAAATCTTATCTCGCTTTTCCGCATAATCGTCGGATCGGTTTTTTCCTCTTTTTTTTTTTCTCTTCCTTTGACTTTCTCAATGCCGCTGCGACTCGAGAGACTGCGTGGTCTAGATGCGGTTTCGAGTCATCGCCGAAGAGGTTCATCGAGGTTCATCGAGGTTCATCGAGGGCAGGATGCTGGAGGAAACACTTCTGAACACCAGGAAAACTGTAAGGCACTCGATAAAATCTCATCCGAGGTTTGTCTTTTCCAACACAACTTTAACCTTTAAATCTGGCGTTGACGCATGGCTCCAAACTCCTCCTTTCCCGACGGTCTCAAAGTCCATCAACTTTTCATTTCTTCTGAGTTTCCACAGATACGAAAGTGCGAGGCGAAAAGTTCATTTTCTGGCAACTGTGTGAACAGTCCGACATAGGAAAAACGTATGGACCTTTTTTTTTCATTATTAAATACTGCTGGGCTCGCGTTGCTCAAGAAACGCGCCTTTCGCAGGTCTCAAGTACTAATCAAGTACTTGATCTGGAAGTCCCGAAAGGTATTACTTACCATCCAAGAGCAAAAATATTACCAATTGGATTCTGACAAATGAGGAATGAATGTGCGAATCTCCGGATGTTTTATCTTATGGAAATTTCACAGTGCAGAAACTGCAAAATAGTACTTCCCTGCAATAATTGGCTTGTTTTACAAAAAAAAACTAACAAACAAAAAAAAATAAAAAACAAAAACAAAAATGAAAGGTGACTTGTCCGTCACTGAACTGTTTTGACCAGCAAGATACTGACGGAGTTTCGCTCGGGCGATTTTTCTTTTGGACGCATTGAGCTCCTAGTACTGCTGATATTATAAAGTACTTCCTTTGGGGTACTGAGAAGATCGGTATAAGAAAGGTCAGCGTGGACTCGTCCATGATGCACTTGGAACTTCTGGCATGCAATCGTGTCATCGCGTGTCGAGTCGCTGGCGTGATATGCGGAAAAGGAAACGAGAAAAATAAGGAAAGATGGTGTAAAAACGCAAACCTTGGATTCGAAAATGGAGTTGGAAGTGAGAATCTGTTCCAGCTGGGATACCTTTTCCCCTTTTCAAATCGTTCAGCGAAGAAATATGAAGAGAGTATTCGCTCCTTGCTTTTGTCGGCGTGATTCCACCCGAATTCTCGTTTTCTGCAAGGGGTTTCGACTTGCTAGTGCTTTTGTCCTTTCTGGATTCGTTGACGCAATGAGCCAGGTTTAACGCAATGAGCCAGGTTTAACGCAATGAGCCAGGTTTAACGCAATGAGCCAGGTTTAACGCAGCCTTGTTGGATGGCAATCCTCCGTCTTCGTTCTTTGTCGTCCATTCAGTCGCATCGCAAATCGGACTTTCGGTCACCGTTTTCTCCAGTCGTCGCCTTCCCATTTCGGCAAAGGCTGTTCCACGCACTGAGAACGAGACGAATGAAAGCTGTGTTCTCGACCTTTTTTTTTTTTTTTTAATTGCTGTCGCGTGCACGAAACGAGGACGGGCGAAACCTCGATATGGAGCTTCCCCACGAAAATGCTAATCCCGATGGATTTAACCCGCGCATTGGTAAATGGTAAACCAACTCTGATTAATAGGACGCTGCCTAGATGTGGCTCTCAGCTCCCTATCTACAAAAAAAAAAAAAAATGCATGAAGAGGTGTTTAAGATTTTCTTCCAATCGAAAAGTTAATTTAAACATTTTGAAAAACTTTCACTCTCATCTCTCAAAAAGGTTCTTCTTTACTGCCAGGCACTTTTGAAATCCCTCAATCGACGCACTCTTGGCAACACCCCAAAAAATAGTTCCTCGGTGGTATTCCGAAACCACAAGTAAATTGCCGAGCCTAGGGCAGATGGGGCGGGAACGAGGGAAGGGGGAGCACGGGGCAATGCTTTTATGTCATTTTCGTCCGATAATTGTTAAACATGGTGACTCCTGCGAAGAGGTGCATCGCCCTGGTGAAAGATGAGTCCATCCTCCAAAAGCTGAGGCCTTTTCATTTTGATGACCATGACCATGCGCGACCATGCATGGTTCTCCCCATTCACCGTTGAGCCTTCAGGAACTGGAATGGCACAATGCGACTCCACGGCGATCCTTGCCCTTCCCCCCCCCCCCCCCCCCCCCACCCATACTCCTCCCCGTCCTCTCCGCGACCGTAACCGCAACGACACCGGCGACGTCTGGGAATTTGAGGAAACCCTGTCTGGTACTCGCATGTGGGTCGGTGTACATGAAACGTGTAGCAGTGAAATGGGATTAGATTGCAGCAATCCCGTTGCATCACGTACGATGCTCACGCACTCGGGGCCGACAGATACACTCGCCGTTTGCGAGGTCTGGTTCTCTTCAGACCCGCTGAGACCAGCGCTCGGGAAAGAAAAAAAGAAAAAAAAGAAACGAGCGAGAACGGGCATTCTGGGGCGTGGTGGAAGGAGCTGGGTTCGCTTCTTCTGGACGGATTCCAACTTTCTCGGGTTTCATCATCGTCAGCTGGGAGTCCTCCAGAAAATCTTTCGGAGGGGCCGCCGTTCCATGAAAGGGTGGGAGAGGCCTGGCTGGGGTGAGAAAGGAGGGCTCTAGCACGATGGGGGGGGGGGGGGCCTTTCGTGCCGATTCGAGGGCGATGAGAGAGGAGAAGAAATGGGTTTTTGGCGGATGACGCAGCAACCTTGACGTGCGACTGTCGCTTGGCATATTAATGGGAGTCGGAGAAGCGGCAAATTCATGAATGCGACTCGAGTCGTCCCCCCATCGTTTCTTTGCATGTCAGGCCTTGGTGTTGTGTGCAGGAATTAAAGGTTCGCTAAGCAGGGCTGGCAGTATTAATTATGTTGGTCTGAGGTCCTCCTGTGGCTCCTTCGCCAAGGTTTTCACGGATTCTACGTTGCGAATGAAATTGCGCGTGTCCTGTGTTTTGCAGGAACTTGGAGAGCCTTGGCCCGATGCCCTACAAGATGACAGTCTTGGCCAAAGAGGACGTCTATGAGGCCACGAGGCTCAAGATGGCTGAGGCGGAAGAGGAGAGCAAGAAGAACAGGTAAACACCGCGCTCTGCACACCTTTTCTCCCCCCGGAATATTGGTTTTGCGTTCTCCTTTCTCGATGCCAGATGAGGATGAACGGTATGACAGGTGGCATGCAGAGTTTCCTCTTTATTGATCGACTGCTCTGGGAGCTGTTGCATGTCGTTTTCTGGAAATGCGTAGGAATTGTGGGATGGGAGAGTTTACTTTTACCAAAGATATGAAACTAGAAGTCTGAAAGTGTTAAGTTATTCCTGTTGTCTCAGCGCTGACTGATGTTTGGCAGTTGCAGAGAGAGTCATCCAATCTTCATGAGAGCATGATAGGACTCTGAGAGTATTTGTCTTTAATCATTCCAAAAACCACAGAGTGCTTGAAAAGATGCTCTGACAGATGCTTGTAAGGAGGTAGAGCCATTGCTGTACTGATGCTTTCTGTTCTTGCACCAAAAAAAGGAGGAAGCATCCATGAAATTGCCCTGTAAATGAATGACAGATGTATTTCGTCAATTTCCTCTCTGCTGGCAAGTAGTTTTTCTAATAGTCATGGATTAAGTCTCAACTTGGTCATCTTTCCAACTTCAGGACCCAGATGCTGAAGCCCTCAGGCCCATACATTGGGCGAAAAGTGAAGGTGAAGAAGCCAGTGACCCCTGCAGCTCCTCATCCTCTTCCACCGTCTTCTTCGGCGTCTTCCCTCTCGTCCCCCTTCCAAGTCGGCAAACCCATCTCGCCCCTGCTCGGCGGCCTCTCTCCGAAGCCCCCCCCTGCAGTACCCAGTAAGATCACCTCGAAGCCACCCGGGAACCCCGACATCATGCGGCGACCCATCCGGTAGGCGCTCCGGCTGCTTTTTTCTACTCCTGCATTGCTATGGTGGCTCCTGATTAGATAGGAGTGCCATGAAGGAGGCACAATGACATACAGATTATATTGACACAAGTGCAGCCTGTAGCTCTGACCTTGAGGTCAATGTGTTGTATGTAAAGTACAGGAACATCATGCAGACCCCAGCAAGAGTGCCTCTTGTGCCTCTCACAATGCTCTTATCTCGCTCATTCAAGTTCTCAAAGCCTCTGGTAGGCTTTGTTAACCTGGTTTACTTTTTGAACATCACAACGTTCCCGTGTCGGATACCTTCTCTCGAGGAATGTTCTCTGAGGTATCTGACATTTTAATCAGTGTATCAGTGAGGTATCTCAGCATGGATAAGGTGAGGCATGAGAAGTTGCTTACTACAAGACATGCCTAATAAAATGGCAGTACTACTTTATATCATGTTATTACCATGCAAAAGAACTGAGATGTTTTGTCAGTCTTGTTGCAAAAAAGAATTTATTATGTGCTTGCTAATTCCACCTGCTTTGCATTGTGTATATTGATATTGCTATTTTTGTAAAGACTTTCATCAGTGTCTTATATATTGTACTCACAGGGAAAGAATAATTCACATGCTGGCTCTCCGCAACTACAAGAAGCCAGAACTCCTCACGGTGCTTCTCAGAGGTGAGGTCTTTTTTCCAGGCAATGCAGGGACTACGGAAGCCAGGATGTACCTGCAACTATCATTTTTCCGATCCACCTTCCACAGATGGATTGCGAGAGAAGGACAGGAACACTGTGTCGACTGTCCTGCAGCAGGTGGCCATTCTGAGGGACAACTCCTACATGCTGGCACGTCATGCCTGGAATGACGTCCAGGAGGACTGGCCCTTCTACTCAGAGGAGGAAAAGCAAAAACTTCGCTGGTTGGTACCTTTATTACTGATTACTGATGACAATATTTTAATTTACTAGGTGCACCTGGAATTTGCAATATCCATAGCTGGGATTAATTCCTAAAGCAACAGCAATTATATTACACATTGACTGTCATTCATGCAAAGTGGCATTTTGCCACAGCAGAGCTCCACTGGTGGGGCAAGGAAAGTTTGGTTGGGTATAGGAATCCCCAGCAGTCAATGCATTAAGCATGGAGTGGGCTTTCTCAGCAGATTCATACTGTATGCATAAGTGGAGTTGTATGGTGTCTGCCATCCTCAAACTCAACAAAGTGCAACCTTTGTGCAGGTGCTTCAGAGTTCCTTTGTGTTGGTGTATGATACAGGAAGAAGCCACAGACCCTGACGCCTCCAGGGAGTGATTCGAGCGGAAATTCTCCCTCGCAAGGTGGTGCCAGCCCCTCAGGGAGCAAGAGAAGTTCCTCTGCGATGTTGGCTGGCCCCGACGCCCACCTTCAATCGAAGAAGCTACGCATTTCCCATTATCGCCGCCCGACTCCCGCACCAAGCACGCAGATGACCAGCCTGATCGCCGGTTCAGCCATGGATGATGCCCCGGTCCCGCCGTCGGGCCTCGGCCGAGCTTCCAAGGACCCTTTTCAAGTGAAAGGTGGTGGGAACGAACGGAATGGTGCGAGTGCACAGTGCAGTGGTAGTGGATCGACAAATGCGACAACTTCGAGTAGCGATTGGCCTGTGATGTCCTCGTCTGCCTCCTCGGTCTCCCTCACGCCCGATTCGAGTCCCGACTCTCAAGCTGACGGTACTCTTCAGCACTCCAACCTGGATCATTCTCTGCAGCCTTCTCCTCTCAGGTCAGCCTCAATTTTTGCTAATAATTTACAAAACTGGTAAAACATATTAATGCTATGGAGCTGCTGACCAATTGGAGAACCAGGTAATTGTGACTACAGGATATTTGTGACATCATCCAGTTGCCACTATCTCCAGGAGATAGAGGGCATTTTCCTGTGTCACATAGTATGGACTAAGAATGCCCTATGCTGCTTTCAATGTAATTTTGTTCAGAATGGATGCTTGCTCTTCTCCAAGTGATGAGATACTTATAATTCCAGAACTGCAAACTGAATTTACAATGAGTTTCTTCCAATTTTGCCAATCTGGAAAGGTGGGATGCATAGTCGCAAATTCACTCTATGGTAGTCACAGGTTCCCAAACCTTTCAGAAGGATGAATCACATTTTACATACACAAAACCACAAGTGTCCATTGTGTTGAACAGTGGTTTCCATTTTGGGGTAAAACGCTTAAGTTCCTTATTTATAGTGGGATTCTTATGTAAGGATGTCTTGGAAGGAGTTGCTTTTAAGTGACTCCTGACTTGGATTGATTGCAAGAGGGAGCGAGGACTTTAATGGCTGGCTTTCTTGGTCTGGCAAGGACAAATACCTGGTTTCCCATCCACTCATCAAGAGGGTTTCTGAGAGTTGTGAGAGCAAAAAAGTGAAAAGTGAATTAAATGGCCACATCTGGTAGGTGTAGCCATTTCATCAATTGCACTTAAAGAAATTTATTTCTCGAAGAGTGAAAACTACAAAATGGAAGGTCCATCAGAGTCTTGGGTCTCCTTTCCCATGGCATGGGGATTAACTCAGCACTTATGCTTGAAATGATGTGGTCATCGATGGAAGACACCATGATTCTGCTCATTCCGTTTCAGTTGTGAAAGGATATGATATGAGAGGGACTTTCCTTGTTCTTGAACCTTTCCTTTAAGTTTTTATCAACATGCGATGGTTTTTAACCATCCTGTGAAGAAGAAATGCTGAAAAAATGAAGTGCCTAAGCTGGCAGTTGATTATATTTTTACAAGTGAACTGGGAAAAATAGTTTCACCAAACTACATCTTAACTTTTACTCTGAGCAAGCCCTAACAATGGCATTTTTCATAAGTAATCATTAATAACTCTGCACAAATTTTCACACTGCTTGCTTTCACCTTTCTTCAGAGACATAATTTACATTTTAATTATCAGTATGAAACAGAAAAATCAGTGAGAGACATGCAGATGCTCGATTTCCCCAGTAAAGATATAATGTCTTTTGCAACTTTGGCCCCAGTGGGCTTGATGTGAGTCATGCATGGCCAAGGTTATGCCAAGGTCCTTGTGGGTTATGTGTATGATATAACATTTGTGTATGACATAATGTAATATAATGATATGGCCACTCTATATACCTCTTTTTTTTTGCTGTTAGGCTGTTCCTGATTACTGATTTAAAGTTTTTGTTTACAGTCATACCCAGACTTTGGCCCAAATTTTGTAACATATCTATTAAATGTTAGTTTCAATCACTTTAGCCAGAAAAGGTGTACAGAACCTTTGCTTCAATATTTCATAGTTTTTCAAAAATGGGAAGCTATATATGGTGAGAATGGAACAGTTTGTCTCCAGGTCCCTATTTCTTCTGGAGTGCTTAGTAAGGATAATGATTGAGTTAGAAAGCAAAACAGGTCTACGGAAAGGAAGCAGTAAAACTGTCTCAGCCATTGATGCATTCCACTTTCATGTATAGTGTAGTTCTTATTCCAGTGGATAATGAAGAAATCAGGGCTCCGATCTCAACCCCATCAGATGTTGATAATTGCACAGAAGACATTATGCTGGAGGGAAACAGGTTGAAACAATGTCTTGCAGCTGTGAACTTCCTTTTGTATAATTGGGTACCATGCTTTGTGAAGTGATTTGATTTTAAATGGGGAAAGTGTCTTTCAATGAATGGAAGGATTAGGATTTAGGGCCCCCTTCATCCGCCCATTTCCCTCGAGAGCAGTACAAACTGGAGATAGAAGACAAGGACCATTTGTATGCTGCACTCAAGCGTGACAGGGAACAGATGGATCTACCGTACTCTGAAAGGAGTCAGGTGGAGATTGGGATAGATGACTGACTTTCTGTGTGAAAGGAGAGCGAAACATTGATATATGGTAGTCTGTAATTGTGATTCAGTTGCATTGATTGCCTGCTGCTGTTTGAAGACAGAAGGCTTGTTTTGTGCCGATTTGCGAAGCTTTCGTCCTCGAATGATTGCAGGACCACTATGAGTTGGAAGTGGGACATGCTGATGGCCTGTTACAGGTGCTATGCTACTAATCTAATTTTGGGAAGAATGGTTTTTTGTTCAGCATTCAGAGGAAGTTTGCACTCTGATCCAGAATTAGTTGTCATTAGAGAGAACAGGGTGATAAGGCCCTCACACACAGGGGGGAAATGAAGTAATGTTTGTTGTGAGATCAGGTACTAAGCATAACTATTTGCAATGCTGATAAGCTTTCTTTCCGTTGGTCCGTTCATTTGTTTTCATATGGGGCTAGGATTGCCATGTAGTGTTGCACCCTCACTGAGGATGAAGTTTGTAACTAAAGAGGCACTTTTTAAAATGTGAATCTTGGATTGATGTTTGTGGGAGAAGTGGTGCTTCAGATTTCTCCTAATTAGCCACCGCACACATTTGTGACTGACTTCATATCTGCTTGGTTTTCAAGATTTATTACTCAATTTACTATCAAATGTATTTTCATATTTTATGAAAATTTCAGTTTTATATGAGAAAAATCTGAATTTCACATAGTGTCATGGAAGAGCACCGTGAAATAGATGTCATTCTCTCCCCTCATGCCAAATCCCCATGCTCACTATCGCCCGGCATCCTTTTACTTTTTCCAATGCCCTTATCCTCGATTACGTCATTGGTTTCCTCTACGATTGTGCACTAAGAGGAGGCTCCCTCCTGGAGTGTCCTTGCCTGGCCTGTCTTTTTTCCTTTTCCACTCGCGCACTCCCACCCTGGCGCTGCTGACGTGAAGCTGATAAGTATGAGTGTTCATGGTTTTTGTATTATTCTTTTTTTTGTTCATTTCTATTTTTAAATTTCAAGTGGCCCTCTTTTATCCTCGAATGCCTCATCTTAGATAGGTTCAAGGAAGGGAGATTCTGCCCCCGCTGTATCGGTATCGATGGGGGTTAAAATGGATTCATGTTTTCATGCATTCACAAATAGGTCCGTGACACTAGCAGAGGAAGTGTGTCACTTCATCGCATAACTGATGGGATAAATGCCATGGGAATCCAATCGGACTGTGCAGTTTTATCTAACTGATGAAGAAGACAATAGCGCGAATAGGTCTTGGGGAAAAAAAAATTTAATGAGCCTTTTGCTACTTTGAATCCACAGTAAGCGATTACGAGTTGCGTCTGTTCTCCCGGGTCAAGTGTCTTCGAACTAACGATGGGTAGACAAAGCAGCGTGAGCACCACGCTCGAGAGAGCTTGGAAATGAATGCAAATTGCTTCGTTTCTGAAACTATGTGTAGTTGATCTTTAAAGAAAGCGTGAGCCCATCCGCTGCCTGTGATGCATGAAGATGAAGTGGTGTTGCTTCACTCGAGGGCCGTTACGATGGCAGTTTTGAAATCGTTCGTGGATATGCGAAATATATGGGCATTAATAAGCGGTGAGTGAGAGAGGAGGAGGAACGGAGACTACCTCGGAAGAGGGCGTGAGGCTGCGTGGGAGGGAGGAGGCCGGAAGGTGGATAGAGGAGGAGTGGCTCATGTCGCGTCGCGGGTGTCCTGCCTGCTTGTTTTCTCTTGGGTCTTGGGGTGTCCTGTCTCGCTTAGTATTTGCATGGTTGTGGGTTTTTTTTTTTTGTTCTGGTTCCTCGCGGTCTGCCGAGGCGTTTCGATGCGTGGTGTCGGTGATGGTGACATCGATGCATCGTGGGATTTTATTTTTTTTTTATCACGGCGAGGGATCAGGAATGCATTTGGCCTGAATGACATGCCAGCTATTGTCCTGAAAAACTTGTGCTGCACTATCATCGGCCCACCCCTGACTGGAATCGTAAGCATCCCTCGCGCCTGGGGCCGTATCTCCTGATTGTAGAAAGTTTCGAAAGAAGATACGCGAGTGGCCAAACGACTTATGCGTCACCCGGCTGACATCCAGGATAACAAGAGCCGTGGTAAGGGAACCAGGTACGGCCAAGTACGGCACCTTACTCGGCGCCCGTCCATGAAGAGCGCAGGCAACGCCTACGTGGATTCCAGCCAGGGCATTCCGCATACGATGCATTTTGTTGGCCTCTGCCCATTTTGGCAACCGATTATGCCGAAACCTTGAGCTTTGGTAAATATAGTGGGATATCCGCAGTTCTGTAGTTTTCGGCCGCGTTTGACGCAATTTGATGCCCATTAAGACCAAACTTGCCGACATCTTGTTATCATCGGCTCAATCTAGGACTAGAAGGTTTGAGAAGCATATGGTGGAGAGGAAGGGCTGAATGACTGCGTGAGCAATCTAATCGCTTTTGCCTGTGACGTGGCTTTGGTTTTCCCACTCCTCCCACGGGAACCGTGAGGCGTGGAGTGTGTCTGTAGGTTACTGAGGGATGCTGCATGGAAACTGTTCCACGTATTGAGGGTGCTGTTGCGTGCCGGTGTGAACGGCTGTCTTGTCGCTATCTGATGCGTCCGATCCATTGTTGGGAAGTATTTTATGCATTGTATCGTGAATGATTATCCTGCTCCCTTTCATTGCAAAGGAGTCAATGGCTGAGACATTTGTTAACCTCTTGCACAATGCTCTGGCTTTGATATTCAAAAGGTCGTATATTTGGGATTTGTTGGAGGAGTGAAGTTGAGGCTTGGAACAGTTGGGAAAGTGCATTAGGGCTATCCATCTTCTGGTACTTGCCATTGAAATAGTTTTTTTTTCGCCTGCTCTCTCCACCAGCACCAAGGCATAGACCTTTCAGAATGCTTTTTTTTTAGGGGGGGGGAATACCTCTGGCGTTGTCAGCGTATGAGTCTGGAGACGTGTCCCTTTAACAATTTTATCCTTCCATGGTGGGGTCAGAGCCTCCCTTCTTTTAGCTGGATCTTACAGAGTTGCTGATGAAATTGAGGTCATATTCATGGCAACCCATGGGGCATCTAATAGGAATGAACGAGAGACAGTTGAATTAGATGCACATCTGCCCTGGAGGCAGCTGCCATCCCAGCTGTTCCTCACATTTCATTTGGCCTTTAGCCTTATGGTCATTTCTCCTTTCATCTTTGCCTTAGGTTCTGTTGTGTGAAGGGTTGATTTCACCGGTTTCTTTTATGGATGACATTGTCTGCATACCAAGATCTCTGTCTTTCCTTTCAGACCTGTCTTGCCTTTTGTTAATGGAAATTCTCATTGTAGGTAGTTGAGAGACAAAGGACCAACTGGTTAGGGTCATGGCACTCCATGTCCCAAAGTTCTTGATGGAATTTCATGATGAGTGAAAGAGACAAAGATATCTTGAAGAAGCTGCAACACACATGCATTGATTTAAGGGAAAGCTATTAGTTTTTGGGATGTGATGAGCATATTAATTGAAGAATTCCCTGATATGCAATGCAAAGACAACAGAGTCCTTCACACCTCAGTGTTCACATTGTCCACTAGGCTTTAGTTCAAGGATATGGTCATTGACTACCATGGCATGATTCAACTGAAGTTTTCTTTGTGTGGTGGTGTATTCATGTTAACTCACTCTTAGAGAGAAATTAATAACAGAACGATCAGGTTTAATGCTATGAATGCCTGCCACAGGCATGATTAAAACCTTCTTAGAAAACAATTAAAATGGTATTAAGACCCAGCCATGCATCATTCTTTTCATTCTCTGTTTCTTTTGAATGCATGCCTGCTTTGTCATCAGCCAGAATTGTTGAGGGAGTACTAAGGAATGAACAATGGAGATTCTCTTATTGCATTGGTGTATGTTCTCCATTTGCTTTTCTTGTAACATCAAAAGTTCTTTCAGTTGTAAACCATATGGTGTGTTTCAGATAGGCTCCTTATCTGCTACAAAGGCTTATCATTTGTGAAACAATAAAGATCATGCATTGCTTGGAGCACATTGGCCATTTTGCTACCATGCTCAGTTGCTCAACAATAAATCAAGGTCACATATCAATGTGTCACTTTGTCTCAATTGCATAACTCTGTGTTTGCAGATAACTTTCTTCATGTAATAGATAACAAGAGGTTGAAGTGGGGAAAGGGAACTACCATCAGATGCGCATAACATCTGCAAGTTCTTTGTTAGATTTTAATCCAAGGGAATTGGGATTCACAAAGTCCATTATTCGGTGGGAGGGTTTTCTATGCTGATGCAAGTGATTATGTGATCTGTTGGGAGTGTATCCTACTTTCAAAGGGAATGAGTTTTCAAGCAAAAATGGAATTTTAGCACTTTGAAGTTGCTTTGGGAATTAGTGAATAGATTGTTTTTATTGCTGAATTTCCCTTCATGAACAATAGAGAAGATAGAGTAGACAAACTTGTCGGTGGGGGGGGAATGTCCTTCCACATTTATTCTCCATAATGCTTACTCTGTTATGCTTTTACTTAGTTGCTGTTCATTTCCCAGAATATTGCAAACTATATGTGTTGATTCTCTGATATCCTTTCTTGCATATTCCTGTCACTGTTTCTTACCCTGAAATTGCTACTTATCATGAGAGTTAAGATGATAAAAAATTTGGAATGAACCCATGACTTGACTAAGCCATTGCTACATGCCTTTTTTTTTTCCTTCTGTTTCAGCAGGCAGAATAAGAGGATAGAGAATGCAGAGCAGAAGCAGAGATACAAGGCAGAGTTTAACGGCCGGTTTCCTGAATACCAGGAACTTTATGGTCATGTGATGAAAGTTTCTCAAAAGTTTGCTCAACTCGATCGACGGCTCCAGGACTACCCCGAAGGATCTGAACATTGGCAGGTGAGTGTGCAAATCACAGGGAAAGGCTGAGTGAGTCTGGAATACCTTGAACTCAGCTGTTTCTTGCTGTCTCCCAGGCGGTGCGGAATCAAATCTATAAGGAATACGAGGACACGATAAAGAACCCAAAGTTCATCGAGATGAAGCGCCGTTTCCACTATCTCCACGACAAGCTCTCCCACATCAAGGAACTCATCGCAGATTACGACAAGAGGACGCGAGCCGGCCTCTTGCGCTTGTGACCCGACTGCCAACACCTTTCCCGCTGATTGTGTGTACATCTCACTTTTCTCTCACTGTGATGAAGCATTGCGAAGACAGACCTGGTTCTAATCAGGCAGAGAAGTATGAGGATGAGATGGAGAAGCAAGAATATATAAAGTTAAAAAAATAGCAAAAAAAAAAGGAACACCTTTGGTTGGGGAGGTTGGGATCTGCATGCCCAGGTGATGTTTCAACAATTGGGATCTAGAGGAATCATTTTGCTCAGTTTGTGAAAGTAGTCACAGCTTTGGAAATTTATCTGTGTTAGAAAGATGATGATGGTGATGATGATTTGAATGCATTCCTTGCCTTCCCCCTGAGGGGTTTTTTCTGCACATCGGGTGAAGGGACCTTTTTTTTCTCATGGTGAGACAACGAAAAGGAACAATTTCACATGGGCCTTTTTCCATAGATGGCTTAAAATAAGCCCTGCACTTAATGTGCTATGAACCATGTCTTGCTTTGATGGAATTGTCTTTCTCCGTTGATGGCCTCTGTTGATAGTGGCCTTATGTCAGAAATTGTGGTTGATTGGGGATAACACCTTCCTCCCATGACGAGGAGCTCTCTTGCAGTTCCCCATTAAAGAATTAAAAATACAAGAATGTACATTTCAAGTATTCTCTTCCATTTATTTGCACATTGCTCCCAGTGTATTGCAGTGTTTCATGTAGCAAGAAATGAACGCTTCAGTTGGGCAATTTACATAGTTAAAATATTCACCTTGCATCTGATAGAGCCATTGTTGCATAAAGTAACATGCATTTCTCTGCAAGCATGAGTTATAGCTGGAATCCCTTTACTATAGAGTGCCTAAAAATAAACTGGCAGATTACTATGTTATACACATTGCTGGAAGTATCATTGGAGCTGCTATCCATTGGTATGTGCCAGGCTTATTCTGATCCATCTATGGAAGAAGGACCCGATTCCATATGAAATGAACTTAGCGGAGAATCAGATGACGACCAAAGGCCTGGATGAGAGGATTTACCCCACTGTTCATGTTCTTTGTGCATTTCTGCCTCAAGTCAGTCTGTCTTCCTTTAGGTTTTCCTTTTTTCCTTTCTTGTCTGTGTCTGACGTTCTGTTTGCACGGACGTTTCCATGCCATGGTTGACTCGTTGGAACAACGGCCGGGCCGTCGAATCGAGGAGCCTTCGTAATACCTCTGGCGTACTCTCTCTCGTTGCTTCGACCGCTCGCCCACTCGTCAGTTGTCGCTCGCTCGCCTTTTCGTGCCATTATGCTGCAGAATCGCTGCTGAAGACGACCTTTTAGCGAGTGAGCGACACGTCGCATTCCTCCTCAGTCATCAGATCTAGTCATGGGCGAGAAAAACAGGGATCATGGCAACCTGCGATCTAAGTCAGCCGTGTGCCCTCTGATTTTTCCCTGTTTTCTCTTTCTCCCTCTGTAACTGACTGCATTCCATGCCTCCAAAGGGGAATTGAAGGTAACGGGTGGAAAAACTGGTTGAGTTTGGCAATTTGGTTGTTGGATGCTGCGATCTCAGTCCCTGCATCTCCAGTTCGTGTTGGTTCATGGCTGAGCCATTCTGGGTGATATTTGCATGTTTTGCAGTTGCAGGGCCTAAATCTTTCTCTTTTGAGAGTGAATTTATCCCACAGTTTTGGGTCATTGGCCCACTCGCTGCCTAAAATCCCCAATGGACAAAGCAGAAAAAATATGGAATTCATTCATACTACCTTCACATTCTATCTCTCTCTGCCTGTCTCTTTGTAGATACTTCATGTCCGCATATTGAATACCAGATCATGATTTTTTTTTTTAAACAAGGATATGAAGTAACATATCCTGAAGCATTGTGATAAGTACTATGTAGCATTGTTACTTGTGTGTGTCCATATGCCCCTGTGTTGAATCCCTGGTGCAGGCATTTTTTTTCCTCCCTTCCCTTTCCTTGTTATTTCTTTTTTTTTTTGCTTCTCTCTACTCTGCGATATCTGTGTGTTCGTCTCGGAAGCCCAGCCGTTCTTGGTGGGCTCGTGGCACGTCCTCCATTGGGCCGAGAGAAATAGTCCTTTTGTTTCTTGTAAGGAGGTCAAGCTGATATTTATTTTTTTGGAGTTCATGTTCCCTCTTTTCCTTTCCTTGGTCTCCTCAGTTTTTTTGGGGGGAGAGATGGGGGTCAGTTCTGGGTCCTGTTTTAGGGTTTTGGTACGATTGGCATGGACAGGCCTTTTTTTTTCCACGAGTATCGTTCATGTTCACACTTGTCAAGCCTTGTGACGTGTGCCTCATCCATTTCCATGCCTGGTTTGATGGTAAAGACAGACTAAATTGTGTTTGATATATGATGGCATTATTAAGTGATGTTAGCGTCTCTTGCTGGCATTTCATGTCACCTGGGTTGTAGGAATTTGCCATATTAGAGAAGTTCATCAGATGTTTGCATTTACACAAAGTGCTATTGAATTCTTCCTTTGTCCATGACTCTTAGACATTGAAGGGCTTTGCATAAGGTATGATGCAAGTTTTGGAATGTGCAAAGTCGGTCTAAATGCCAATCCCGAGTTCCTTCATGCCACTGCACTAGGCCCTGCAATCTCAAATTTAAAAAAGTAAAACCGTGGAGTGATATGTCTGGATTCTAATGTCTCGATCCTCACGTGATTGTGATGTGAGTACATATGCCAAGCCTGTTTCTTACTCTTGGATCGAAGCATCTCAGAGAGATGCCAGCCTGTGATTTCCAGTCTCAAGAAGCAAGACTATGATCCCCCAGCCCAAGCATAATGTATCAAAAATGCAAAAAAAAAGGGAGAAAAAGTGTTATCTTTGGCCTCATCTTATCTTCTTCCTCTTTATGGTCTCTCCCTGTATCTATATTTGTTGTCACTTCAGGCTCCTCCGATTCTCTCGCTCGGAATAAAGCAGCCTGTTCATGGCAGACACATTGACCCGCCTCCGTGTGATCATTTAACTCATTTAAATAAAAGCGACTTCATTGCAATTCCGCTTTGCACAAGAAAGGTAAAGAGAAGAAACAAGAGAGCAACGACCAATCCCCAGAAGGCGCCATGGCAAGACACCTGTCACCCACGTGGTGCTCCTGGACCCCTTCATCAGCCAGGCTCTCGTAGATCCCCTCCGTCCCATCCGTCCACACGAATTTGGGCGGAACTCGCATTCGGTCCCACTTCCTCGCCCCGATCCATACTGAAAGCAGCGGAGGATGATGGGAGCAGACGACGTGGATGACGTCACGGCGAAGTCCCCACGTCATCTGCTCCCCAAACTCACCAGTGTTCTGTTTCGCGATTTTTTGCAGAAAGAGCCGCTCGTCAATCGAGTGAATGCTGACCAAGTTTCCCCCAACCTTCCGGCATAACATTTCTGCCGATCCCCACGATAAAGAGTCCCCCGGCATCCAGTATCGACTTTCCCGAAAGACCCAGCCTGGTGAATTGTCCTTGCCGCCGGCATCGTCTCCTGAGATGCAAGTCAAACGAATGCAAAAAAAAAAATACATATAAAATATATATATAAAAAAGTACATCAATTCCAATGCAATGCCTTGTGCCGGGCAAGGATCCCCATCCTGCGACTATTGCGTTCCGAAAGACACTTGCGACGTTGAGGGATTCATAATATTTATGAGCACGGCAATAAAAGAATTTCTCAGGACAAAATGATATTGACAATAGAGGGAGAAAAGACCGCTGACAGGATGACACGAGGCCTGTATATTTCCCGAAAGATAGCGTCGATGTTTTGATGATTAGCGATAGCAACTGAGACGCAATTCGCGTCCCTAGCGGAGCGATACTCTTTTTTTTCTTCTACGTAATTTTTCACTAGCTCTTCGTGTATTTTCATCGCCCGTTTGGAATACTTCGTATGCTTTCAGCGTGTAAAATTAAATAAGTAAATAGAATTCCCCGTCTCGGGTTATAACAGTGCAATTTGGTCAGCGTCTCAGTCTCATCGATTGAAATTCTTGGCGATTTCGCTGGGTTTATCGTCGGCGAAATTAGCGCTTCCGCGATCACGCTGATCGGATGTGCGAGAGTAAATTTATTCCATTCGCTTTGCCCTTGGATTCCGCATGCACTTTTGACACCGACGTATCGAATGAGTTTGGCACAGCGGCCGATCTAATACGGCAGCTTGGCAAGGGAGGATTTCGCTGGAAAGTGTTCATTAAGCCATAATTCATTAAGCCAAAATTTTAAGCTAACGATTTGAACTGGATTCGCGATTCCAAAATGTATGCATAACCATGGAGGGTTATCCGATGGGATTTGGCGTGAACCTAGCTTCAGGACTGAGCACGAGTAAATTCAAATTTAGCTCGAAAATTTGCAAATATAAACAAAGTAGAAACTCAAACGCGAATCTGGAAATTGGCAGCGCTCGTGCCTGGACGGACGCTCGACTGCCTCGCGAGTGCCTGGACGGACGCTCGGCTGCCTCGCGAGTGCCTCCCCGGCTCCCATCGCCGGGGAGAATTATCTTTCCATTTCAAAGCAATTACCGGTAACTACCGATTCCTCGAATTTCGCCGATTTTTTTTATTTATCATTTCAACACAGGACCTCAAAATGCAAATGCGATATCCTTCGCGTTCTGAAACGGAAAAGAGTGCCGCCTTATCGCTTCGTATCTCTTCCTGCAGATACCGCCAGCTCCGCCAAGGTCACGTGACCAAGCCGGAGTTCGTTTTATCGGTTCCCAGTTTGCTGAATTATCCCGGTATTATCCCTTTGTAGCCAAACTTTTCTTCCAAAAGTGGCTAAAGTTTCATCTGAAGCAGCGGCTATGGAGAAATCTCAACCGAAAGCAAATGACTGCATTCGGACCTGGTGGCCCTGGTCCATTTGGCCCTGGTCCCGTCACGTGAATTTATTCAGAGAATCCCGAATTTGTATGGCTTAGAAGCCTCTAGGGCTGTCTTCGTTATTCTTCAGTGACGTTTCTTGAATCGAGTCATCGTGCGTCCACTTTCTGATAGCGCCCTGCGAGACGTCTTCTCGCTTTTTCATGGGGGCTATAGCCTCGGGGAGATTGCCAACGATGCAACGTCGGCGGATCGTCTGTTAAAAGGATCCAGAAACAGCATTTTCCTGACGGAAGAGATCGTCCCAGAAGCTGTCATTTCAAGAGAAGAAAGAAAAGCCGAAACTCTCGCCGGCAAATGTCGTGGCCCGCCTGGATTTCGCCAGAAGCCACATGGATCGGACGATTGACGATTGAAGGCGCGAGTCATTCGGTCGGATGAGACCAAGATGAACCGTTTTGGCTCAGATGGACGCCGCCTGGAACCGGAATCTTAAGGGTCGACAAGCTCGACGCGTCAAGCAGACTGTCAATCACGGAAACGGCTCGATCGTGATCTGGGGCCACACGACGATCGAGGGAACCGGCCACACGACGATCGAGGGAACCGGCCACACGTGCAAGGTGAACGGCACCGTGGATCAGCATCTCCTCAGATCCATCCTGGAGGACAAATCGCATAGTTACTTCCCGGCATGACAACGACCCAAAAACATCGAGGCGAAGAGCCTCCACCAGCGGCTGAATCGACAGCCGCTCGAGGTCCTGGAGCGACCGACTCGACAGCAGCTCGAGGTCCTGGAGTGCCCAGCTCACTCTCCAGACCGAAACCCCATCGAGCACCGCTGGGCACACCTCGAGCGGCGCCTCCACCAGCACCAGGAACCTCCCAAAGGAGGTGGAGGTGCGGGCGCGGGTCCAGACTGGAGAATCGACCTCGAAACCTGTCGAAGACTAGTGGAAAGCATGCCTAGGGGCGACTTGGGGCTGTGATCAAAGCCAAAGGGATGTAGACAGAGGTAGTGATTTTGTCGAGCGAATTAACGAAGTTCAAGTTTTGACATCGGGGACAAAACTGTCCGAATGCAGTCATCTGTCTTCGGTCGAGAATTTCTCCATAACCGCTGCACGGATTCCGATGAAACTTCGCACGCTTACCGAGGCAGAGTTCGGCTGCGAAGGGAACGTCGCACAGAGCAATTCGATCATCCTATGCCGAGATAATTGGTCCCAAGAGCGGATGGTGCATGCGGGCCGGTCTTTTCATATTTATTCGCAATATAAATGTCATGCAAGTCATATATCATCATTTCAATGAAGAAACCAGCACGAAGAGTGCGTGTTTTGGTGTTCATATTTGGTGATGGCACGAAAGGCTCGGAATTTCACCAGGTCATCTGCACTCTTAGAAAAAGGGAAACTATTTTTCTCAAGAAAGAGAGTAAAATAGCTAACTCCAGTTTCGCCCCATTTCACTCTGGGAAAGGTGCTAATTTACTCCGTCAACAAGGAATAAAATTGATCTCCTCCTCCTTGAGTGAAAACGCTCCCATCAGAAAGTGATAGGGATGTTATGAAGTACGAAAACTCTCATACTGTGTGTCGCTTTTGCTCCCGTACAGGCATTGACCCACCTCTGACTGTATTGATTATAGCACACGTCAGAGGATGGATCACCTCTTATAGATTCCGTGGATTATCCAGGATATCAATCCTTATCACAGCATTTAGCTGAAGTATGATTGAATGAAGTTCACTGCCACTGTATGTTCTAGATCTCCTATGCAGATTAAATCGTACGCCTTCCAAAAGAGTTTCCAATTGGAATATGAGTTTGCTTATGGCCTGGACTCTATGAATGCGTCTTGAATATGTGGATAACAAATGATGAAGTATCGTGTTTATTGATTCCTATAATGAGAGTAGGCGAGACATACGGCAAGGTACTAAACAATCCTGCGGGGGACCATTCCAGGGAAAGTGGGAAGGGAACTTTTGTGTACAGTGCGAAAAGCGAGAATCTTGCCTCCATCTAGTGGCCTAGAAAAGAACTTCAAGGTGTTCACTTCAATACGAGAGGTGAGGGAGCATTTGGTGAGTAATAAGGGAGTAAATTCGAAAAGCTCACGATGTGCTCACATTTTACTCCCCAAACGCTCGGAATTTTCTAAGAGTGTACGTCACACATCGAAGCCGGGTACCAACACAAGAGAAAGACCGCCGCTGCATTTATATACATCACAGCGGCTTACGATACTGTCTGGAGGGATGGTCTCCTCTTGAAATTAAGCAACCTTGTTAGATGTGTCCCAACGATGCGCCTCAACAAAGCGATGCTCACCGACCGAAAGTTTCGCGTGCACCTTGGCAATAAAACTAGCCGCCAACGCCTGCTACAAAATGGTCTCCCTCCGGGCTCCGTACTAGCACCTGCCCTGTTCAACCTGTACATCAATGACATGCCCGGGGACCACGAATCTTGCCTCCATCTAGTGGCCTGGAGAAGAACTTAAAGGTGTTCACTTCAATACGAGCGGTGAGGGAGCATTTGGTGAGTAATAAGAGAGTAAATTCGAAAAGCTCACAGTGTGCTCACTTTTTACTCCCAAAACGCTCGGAATTTTCTAAGAGTGCGGAGTCTGTTTCCCAGGCTTGAGGCAATAGGAGGAAGCTCCTGGGCATGCTCGAACAGAATAATTTCGGACAGGCGATATTGGATATGCTCTTTTGTATGTATAGATGCATATATGATGTACAAATTCTGCCACTGCCGCAGGAAAATCGATGGAATTTTATAGGTTCATAGGTGTTCCTCATAGGCAAAGTTCGCTAAATTCCACTCTGAACTGATTAAGTTTAAGTAAATACAGACACTTTTATAACAAATATGTGAATATGTCTATGAACTCTCTTGATTGTTGGCTTTAAGCTGATGTTAAAGCCAAAAGCTCCTCAGAGCTCAAAACGTTGCATCAAATTCTTGGAGCACAGATTTACCTTTCATGGAAATATCCACGCGAGGATTTCATTAATGTATTCGATGCTTTTTCTCAAAAAGAAATGAAACTCAATTAATTCCCTCTGTATCGGGAAATTATATTATCTGCTTCAACGGGGTGAAAGTAAGATAAAGCACAATAAGCTATTGTATACTAGGGTGATTCCATGCGAAATCCACCAATATAAATTTAGAAACTTGACAATCTAGGATGTTGCAATAAGAAGCTCTCACAAATTTCCGTTGATAAAACCAGTAACATGTAAAAAAGCAACTGCATCTAATTTGCGTTTACTGAGATTTCGACCGGAGTTTGGGGGCGATAAAAAACGGGTAAAAACGCTATATTTGGTCCCAGTCGAACTAAAAACCGTATTTAAATTCTAATTAAAGATAAGGCAATGCAGAATCACAATATATAATCCAGTCCTCGTAGGTTTATCACCAAGTGAGTAACACAAATTCAAAAATTGCAAATATTGCCGAATTTTGCACGCAAATTTTGAACACTATGATGTAAGGAAACACAACGAGGGTTTGCAACGTTGTAAACTAAAGCAATGCGAATTCAAGAACTACATTTCAACCTCCTACTTTGTTCGAAACAACTTTAAATTGAATTTGAAAATGTCAATTTTACCTATTTTCACCCAATTTGGTGGTTTGTACATTCTGCTTCAAAAACGATCCAAACTTGAAACTAATGTGGAGTAAAAGCCCTATCGAAGTTCTTTCCAATGATGTATTACTTATGCTGTTGAATTCAATATATGTCTCCCGATTCCCAAATGCTAATGAATGATTTTGCAGAAAATTTCACCCCAACTCGATAATTTCCCACGTACAAACCGAATGAACGAAGTCGTTATACTCAATGAATATGTTGAGGGACGTAACCTAGCTTCAGGAGACTCCAGGTAATTATTGCCCTATGCATAGAAGGAGCGAGGTTCCTCATGTTACGTGAGTCGCAAAAACCCATGTTAAATTATTCCTTGTTAAGCGACTGCCTCTGAATCTATGTTTCAATCTCCTATTAATAAGGCATGCGGTGGCTATATATTGCAATATATTGCAAATTAAGAATATGTAATTACATATATATATTATACTAAATAAGACCAAAACATGCCAAATGTTTATATGTGCCCTATATATTGCCACTAAGCACCATATGCGGGGTTTATATATGAACAATGTATAGTTCCATATACATTAAGAAAGGCCAAAACATGATATGGTCTGGAATGGCTTCCAAATACCGTCACCCATGTGTAATACTTATTTGTGTTATGTAAATTCCGAGCCTAGCACCCCTATATGGCCATATTTTATAATTCACATGAAATCGGAATTTGCAGTTCCCATAATGATGAATTGAACCATGACAACAGTTGAGGATCTTACATTCAGCATATTCTCAGTATTAAGTGTTCTTCTATCCCCGAACCAACTAAGTAATTAAAGGCACTGTGTGAAGACGCAATTACTCCACACGAACGTGCCTTAGCTTTTTGAAAGGGTTTCGTCTTTTCACCCGTTCTCCTTCTGAGATTTCTGCCATTNGCCATTGTAAAAACGTAACCCTGCACTAGAATGGAATAACAATGACAGAACACGCACAGCCAAACAGTGAATAGTAAGAGAGAGAGGGGGAGAGAAAGAGAAAGCAAATTCCATGAAGTTTCAACAGTTACATGGGAAATTAATATCAGATGAAACTTTTAAAGGGGTAGTATTTAATTCATCACCAAATAACAATTGCCTTTTTCACGAAGAAGTAATGACTGAATACCAGATTTCAGTATCTGGTCACTCAATGAATTTACATCACCAAATACTGATTACCATCACCTAAATATTTCATCACTAGACCTAATGAATCTTAAACCAAATTCTCCCTCGGTATTTTCACCTGATGCCATGAAATGACCACCAAATTTTGAGTTAGCACCAAATCATTGTCACATTTCATGTGACAAAAGAAATCTACTTTTCTTTTAGCGGGCCTGCAGGGCAGAATACAATGACTATCCCAGCTGTGAATTAGCACTCCAAGTGAATTTTTGCCAGTCTTGATCTAAACAGAGCATGTGCATTCAGCAGTTGGAACTCTCGCAACTCAGATTGAGAGTCTAGTTCTCTTTCGGTTCTCTTAATGCACCAGTTTTCGCATTAGATACTCTTTTGCACTTTTCCGAATCTCTTCCCTCGTGGGGTTGCCGGCACTGCAGGCACAGGAGCGCCTGTCTCCTTGTTTCAATGTCCTCAAACTCTCTAGTTGCCATGGCACCTCTAATACATAGAACGCAAAGAAACTGCAATTCTGCACCGTACACAATTCCCATACTTGTTCATAAGTGCGATGTGATTCTATTCGACCCAAGTCCTCCCCCAGTGGTCCCCCCAAAGCATGCCCAAGCAGCATGTTTATGCTAATCTTACGTAAAATGAATGTAATGTTTTTGTTCATTCTATATTTTTTATGCAAACCATCATCAAAGTAATGTCAACCTGTTTGCAGAAATGTCACTTCTGTGATACGCAAATGGTGATATAATATTTATGTGAATTTTGCGTAAAATTTACATTCCTGTTTGCATCCCCAGCTTCATGTTCACGTTTATTTTACGTAAAATTGATGTTAATTTCCCCCTAACATTCATGCGTATTTAATGAGCCA